GATGCTTCCAGTCTCTGCGTTGTCCTGTTTCCCCTTGATTGTTCCCAGGTGTTTCTCGTTTCTGTGATTACCATCTGTGTATTTAATCCCACGGTTGTCCTTTGTTCCTCATCGGGTCCTCATCGTTCTTCGTCATTTTGTCAAGCCTGTCTTCTGTCCACCAGATGAACAGTTGCTACCGGCGTTGAGCCTGGCTTCAGCTCAGCCATGCTGCCTGTTTTGTGTTTCCACTTGGACATTTTTACTATTAAAACCATCATTTAACTATAACCTGGGTTTTCTGCCTGCTGCTTCACCACCAGTATTCCAGCATCTCTTGATAGAGTGAAGCTATGACAAGAAAACAAACTGAAAAACATGTGGATCCTGGAATAATCCTGGAATAACTGAATAAATCCAGCTTCCATCTTAAAAGGATTAGAAGAAGAAAAAAGTTTCCAAGGACTCAATCAGAATCGTTTCAACAAGAAATAGATTGTAGAGACTGAACTATCTGTTCAACAGTGAGAGAGTTTCTCTGACAGGAGGAAAAAACTTTAGACTCTTTAGACTCAAATCAGCTCAGAAACACTGAAGAACCAGAACTGAACCAGAACCAGAATCCAGGAATCAGAGGTTCAGTGAATGTGGTGTTGAGGTGTGGAGGAGGATCAGTGAGTCAGAGGAGACTCTGTAGAAGGACAGAATGCCAGCAGGACAGTCCACATACACTGCTACTCTGTTAGAGACGGAGGAGGAGGAGAGAAGAGTTGCTATGTTATTGTGCCAGACAGAGTAACCATGACGATCAGAGCAGCTCAGACTCAGGAATGATCATTATATCCAAACAAACAGTCTTCACTGAATCCTTTCCTCCTGATTCTTCTGTAACTCACGATATATAAACATCTCCTCTCCACTCAACTCCAGTAACAGCGACCAGTCAGACCAGTTCTACACAGCAGCTGAGGATAATTATCAAATCTGTCTGGATGATCAGGATATGACTGAAGCTCCTCCACGTGTCACCTTCCTGTTGTCTTCAGACAGTTTGAGTTCTCTGTTCACTGTGTTTGTGTCGATGGTGAGTTGACAGGAATCTGATGGAGAACAAACACAATCCAGCTGCAGTTATTGATCATTTATTGATACTTTGACTCCTGAATGAGTGATGTGACAGTTTGAAGATGGTTGAATGTGAGCTGCTTTGTTGTCATGAATCAGATGAAAAAACACTTACATTTCCTCAGACCTGGAGTCAAGAATCGGCCTCCAGCAGGCTCCACCCTGAAAGGAGGAGGGGGGTCAGACCCATCAGTCTCTTTCAGCAGCAAACATGGACATTACATGTCTCTCAGACACACATTGTCCTCACTGAGACAGGAACAGTCAACATCTGGATTGCAAACTACAGTGGATGTAGGAAGGACAGTTGGTGCTGCTGCAGCACAACTCATTTCTCCAAACACAGGAAAAGCTCCAGCAGAGAGGAGAAAGGAAATCCCTCAGTAACAACCTGAAGAAACTCACTGAAGCCTAAAAGGACATCAGGAAACTAAGGAAACATTTCTGGAAGCTCCACCTGATTTAATAATCAGCATTAAAATACAATCAATCTAAACTCTGATCAACACCTGGATACCTGATCCATCCACACTCCCACACACAGATGAAGGAAATGAAACACTAAACAGCCCTGCTGAAAACCTGCTGTGGCCTCACTGTAATATCCAGAAATACAAACATTAAAAAAGGAGAAGCTGCATCACATTCAACAAAGATCAACAAGAATCAAAGATTTGATCTCTGAGCTCAGACTCACAAACCAGGGAGAGGCTTCCATCATCACACACCTCTGACAAACACCTCCAACCTTTCAGCACTTCCTCTACCAACCAGCACCACCAGGTGGCGCTGCACACATTTACAATGAGCCCAAGAAGAAGAAGCAGCATCCTGAATCCAGCAGCTGCAGTAATGGCTTGTGAAAGTGTCCAAGGAGCATCTGGAACCAGAACCAGCAGATCCAACAGTCCAGAGAGTTTTTGTTTGCATCTTTCCTCTCAGATTTCCAAGCTGCTCTGAGAGGGAAATGACATCACTCTACTGATGATGTCACGCTCTGATGTCACTGACCAGGAGCTGCTGGACTTCTACATTTCCAGCATGGAGGACAGAGAAGATCTCAGCTCTGATGAGGAGCTGGCCTGCCTTCACACTGATTGAGGGTCAAAGAAATATTTCCAGATGAAGTCAGACTAAAATGTTGGATTGTCCTGTTGCAATCAGAGGCCAAGAAGAAGCTTCAAGTTCTTCTCCTCTTAGCTCCACGTTCCTGTCAGAGATGGTAAAAACATTCATTGTTTTTCTGTCTCATTAGTTTCCAGAAAGAGTGAAATGTTTCAGCAGCTTTTATCCTGCAGCTCAGTAAAGATCTCTCCTCTTTCCAACCTGATTTAGTCCATGAAGCAGAACATCTCTGCTGCTGCAGCAACAGGAGGAAACTTCTCCAGCTCTCAACTTCTACACTCTGACTGCTTGGAAACAGATCAGGGAGGATCAGCCTTTTCTCCAGGCTGCTCCTCCTGACTCTAGCGCCACCTAGTTGAGGACAAACTACCATACAAATAAAACTGCTAAACTCTGCCTCAAACAGTTTGCTTCATGTTTTTGTGTATTTTTGGTTTCATTAAGTCCTGAAAGTTGTGAATCTTTGTTTCACTTTTTTGAGAACTTTTCCACATCCATCTGACCATTTTCTGATCTTTCCTCATTTGGGCTGATTGGTCTAGATCTCCATGAAATATTCTTTAAAGTCCAAATTGTTTCCCAGCTGTGTCTCTACAATTACATATCATATCTTTTATATGATATCATTAATCTGCATATTTTTAACTTATTTTTAAATCAGCCAATCAGCTTCTTGTATTTCCTCAGTAGATCCATCAGTGGAAGCCCCGCCCAGCCCATGATGCCTGGTTTGTGAAGACTGAGAGACAAACTGAACTCTGATAGGAAACAGTTTCAACTGATTTTCTCTCTCCAACCTCTTGGTTCCACATGGAGCTATATTTGGCCCCTGCTGCTCTGAATACCATGTTATTGTGGTTCAATAGATGGGTTGGTTTCCCAGGTTCATTCAGAACATGTGGAAAGATTCTTATAGTTTAAATGAGCTGCTGTTTGAAAACTTACACAACCAAAATGACCAGAGATAATTTGAGTTATTAAACTGTAATAAGAGATAAAATGGGGTTCAAAATGTATCCATTCATTTATAAATGATATGACTGTATACCAGCTTCAAACTAAATGTTTCCCAGCAGACTGACTAAAGACATTTCTCCCTCTTCCTCCTCTATCAGACCTTCTCTGCTCCTGCAGCAGTTCCATCCATACCTGAGAGCTTCCAGTCTCCAGTGTGGATCCTTCAGTCCAGCCGACAGCAGCTTCACTCCTGAGTCTCCTGGATGATTGTAGCTCAGGTCCAACTCTTTCAGATGGGAGGGGTTGGAGGTCAGAGCTGAGGCCAGAGAAGCACAGCCTTCCTCTGAGACCAAACAGCCTGATAAGCTGCAGACACAATTCATCACATGATGAGAAAATGAGAACATTGAGGTAGAAACCAGGTCTGAACGGACGGACGGACGGACGGACGGATGGTTGGCCAGAGTTACCTGAGAGTTTCCAGGTTGCAGTTTGGACTCTTCAGTCCAGCAGAGAGAAGCTTCACTCCTGAATCCTGCAGGTGTTGTTACTCAGGTCCAGTTCTCTGAGACTGGAGGACTGGGAGCTGAGACTGAGGACAGAGCTTCACAGCCTTCTCTCTGAGAGGTTACAGCCATCAGTCTGAGGAGACAGGGAGGAAAATATGTTATTAATACAAGCCTTCTGTTTCCAGTCAACAATGTTTTTTGTTGATTTGAAAGAACAATTTTATTTTACATGATATTTCCATTTGTTCTGAATTGTTTAATTTTATAGTTTATATCCATGCAGAAGGAAGTCGTTTCTTTTTACAGAAACCCCCAATGTTTAAGAAATCATCAAATGTTTGTGTTACTTTCCAGTCAACAATATTCTTCTTGGATTTACTGAAGAATAGGTCATATTTTTCAAAACATTATTCTATAGTTGAGACTCTGACCTTGAAGAACTGAACTACAGGCAATAAGGAGGCTGGCAAGAGAAATATTACTACATAATCCAGTGTCAGTTTTAACAGAAAGAGTCCATTGAAAATCTAGTCTGAATATCAGCATCAGAGCTGGTTTGAGGGAAAACACCAGCTTCAACAAAAGCAGAGAGAATCTCAGATTATATCTTTCCATTTTTAAACTGGTTGGATTCAGAGATGGAAAACTGAGCAGTGACTGACCAAAACTGTTCCTTTGAGCAACAAGTTAACTATTCAGCTTCATACTAAATGTTTCCCAGCAGACTGACTAAAGACATTTCTCCCTCTTCCTCCTCTATCAGACCTTCTCTGCTCCTGCAGCAGGTTCCTCCATACCTGAGAGCTTCCAGTCTCCAGTGTGGATCCTTCAGTCCAGCCGACAGCAGCTTCACTCCTGAGTCTCCTGGATGATTGTAGCTCAGGTCCAACTCTTTCAGATGGGAGGGGTTGGAGGTCAGAGCTGAGGCCAGAGAAGCACAGCCTTCCTCTGAGACCAAACAGCCTGATAAGCTGCAGACACAATTCATCACATGATGAGAAAATGAGAAGATGGAGGTAGAAACCAAGATCTGAACTGATGGATGGATGGATGGATGGATGGATGGATGGATGTATGGATGGGATGGATGGATGGATGGATGGATGGATGGATGGATGGATGGATGGATGGATGGATGGGTGGGTGGGTGGGGGGTGGGTGGATGGATGGATGGATGGATGGATGGATGGATGGATGGATGGATGGATGGATGGATGGATGGATGGACGGACGGACGGACGGACGGACGGACGCACGGACGGACGGACGGACGGACAGATGGATGAACGGATGGCCCAGAGTTACCTGAGAGTTTCCAGGTTGCAGTTTGGACTCTTCAGTCCAGCAGAGAGAAGCTTCACTCCTGAATCCTGCAGGTTGTTGTTACTCAGGTCCAGTTCTGTGAGACTGGAGGACTGGGAGCTGAGAACTGAGGACAAAGCTTCACAGCTTCTCTCTGAGAGGTTACAGTCACTCAGTCTGAGGAGACAGGGAGGAAAATATACTATTAAATAATTTATTAAAATTTCTTTTTTCCAGTCAACAATGTTCCTCTTTACTGATTTAATGAACTGTTTTAATATAATCATGTTGCCTTTTGTTGTGAACTGGTTCAGTCTATATTTGGGTCTCCAGCCATGAAGGACTGAACTACAGGCAACAAGGAGGCTGGCAAGAGAAAATTAAATTCCTCTATGAACTAAATGAATCCATGTCAGTTTTAACAGAAAGAGTCCAATGAAGCCTGAGAATCAAGGCTGGATGAAGATCAGCATCAGGCTCAGTTTGAGGATCAGCATCAGAGCTGGTTTGAGGGAAAAAAGCAGCTTGAATCAAAGCAGAGCAAATCTACAGTCTTTACATGTTTAACTGTTGGATACAGAGATGGAAAACGAGCAGCAAACTGACAAAAAAACTATTTGAACAAAAATCAAATTGTTCTATAAAAGGATTGTAAAGAAACGCTCCAATTTAAACTCATGTTTGGAAAAAAACATTGAGAAAACCAATATAGGGGGAAATACCCATCTAACAGTAAGACATCTATTATCATTTCTTCTATTATTGAAAAAACATTTGAATCATAACTGATAGAATATAAAGGAACAGAAATCTGGTTTCACTAGGATTGAGAACATTTTACCTGAGAGTTTCCAGGTTGCAGTTTGGACTCTTCAGCCAGCAGAGAGAAGCTTCACTCCTGAATCCTGCAGGTTGTTGTTACTCAGGTCCAGTTCTCTGAGACTGGAGGACTGGGAGCTGAAGAATGAGGACAGAGCTTCACAGCTTCTCTCTGAGAGGTTACAGCCACTCAGTCTGAGGAGACACGGAGGAAAATATGTTATTCATACAAGCCTTCTGTTCCAGTCAACAATGTTTTTTGTTGATTTGAGAGAACAATTTTATTTTACATGATATTTCCATTGTTATGAACTGTTTAATTTTATAGTTATATCCATGCAGAAGGAAGTCGTTTCTTTTTTACAAAAACCCCCAATGTTTAAGAAATCATCAAATGTTTGTGTTACTTTCCAGTCAACAATATTCTTGGACTTATTGAAGAATAGGTCATATTTTTCAAAACTTTATTCTATAGTTGGGACTCTGACCTTGTAGAACTGAACGACAGGCAATAAGGAGGCTGGCAAGAGAAATATTACTACATTAATCCAGTGTCAGTTTTAACAGAAAGAGTCCATTGAAAATCTAGTCTGAATATCAGCATCAGAGCTGGTTTGAGGAAAAAACCAGCTTCAACAAAAGCAGAGAGAATCTTAGATTATATCTTTCCATTTTTAACTGGTTGGATTCAGAGATGGAAAACTGAGCAGCGACTGACAAAAACTGTTTCCTTTGAGCAACAAGTTAACTATTAATCTTCAAACTAAATGTTTCCCAGCAGACTGACTAAAGACATTTCTCCCTCTTCCTCCTCTATCAGACCTTCTCTGCTCCTGCAGCAGGTTCCTCCATACCTGAGAGCTTCCAGTCTCCAGTGTGGATCCTTCAGTCCAGCCGACAGCAGCTTCACTCCTGAGTCTCCTGGATGATTGTAGCTCAGGTCCAACTCTTTCAGATGGGAGGGGTTGGAGGTCAGAGCTGAGGCCAGAGAAGCACAGCCTTCCTCTGAGACCAAACAGCCTGATAAGCTGCAGACACACAATTCATCACATGATGAGAAAATGAGAACATGGAGGTAGAAACCAAGGTCTGAACGGATGGATGGATGGATGGATGGATGGATGGATGGATGGATGGATGGATGGATGGATGGATGGATGGATGGATGGATGGATGGATGGATGGATGGATGGATGGATGGATGGATGGCTGGATGGATGGATGGATGGATGGATGGATGGATGGATGGATGGATGGATGGATGGATGGATGGCCCAGAGTTACCTGAGAGTTTCCAGGTTGCAGTTTGGACTCTTCATTCCAGCAGAGAGAAGCTTCACTCCTGAATCCTGCAGGTTGTTGTTACTCAGGTCCAGTTCTCTGAGACTGGAGGACTGGGAGCTGAGAACTGAGGACAGAGCTTCACAGCTTCTCTCTGAGAGGTTACAGCCACTCAGTCTGAGGAGACAGGGAGGAAAATATGTTATTAATCCATCAAAATGTCTTTTTTTCCAGTCAACAATGTTCCTCTTTACTGATTTAATGGACTGTTTTATATATAATCATGTTGCCTTTTGTTGTGAACTGGTTCAGTCTATATTTGGGCCTCCAGCCATGAAGGACTGAACTACAGGCAACAAGGAGGGCTGGCAAGAGAAATATTAAATTCCTCTATGAACTAAATGAATCCATGTCAGTTTTAACAGAAAGAGTCCAATGAAGCCTGAGAATTAAGGCTGGACTGAAGATCAGCATCAGGCTTAGTTTGAGGATCAGCATCAGAGCTGGTTTGAGGGAAAACAGCAGCTTGAATCAAAGCAGAGCAAATCTACAGTTTTATCTTTACATGTTTAACTGTTGGATACAGAGATGGAAAATTGAGCAGCAACTGACAAAAACTATTTGAACAAGAATCAAATTGTTCTATAAAAGGATTGTGTAAAGAAACTGTTCCAATTTAAACTCATGTTTGGGAAAAAAACATTGAGAAAACCAATAGGGGGAAATGCCCATCTAACAGTAAGACATCTATTATCATTTTCTTCTATTATTGAAAAACATTTGCATCATAACTGATAGAATATAATGGAGAGAAATCTGGTTTCACCAGGATTGAGAACATTTTACCTGAGAGTTTCCAGGTTGCAGTTTGGACTCTTCAGTCCAGCAGAGAGAAGCTTCACTGCTGAATCCTGCAGGTTGTTGTTACTCAGGTCCAGTTCTCTGAGACTGGAGGACTGGGAGCTGAGAACTGAGGACAGAGCTTTACAGCTTCTCCATGAGAGGTTACAGACACTCAGTCTGAGGAGACAGGGAGGAAAATATGTTATTATACAATTCTACAAAAATTTATATTTTTCAAGGTTTTTCTTGGACAGAGAAGGATCTATCTTATTTTACACATGTTTATGATGCCTTTTGTTGCAAAATGGTTCATTTTATAGTTAGTCCTACATCCTTAAAGTTTATAACTACAGGAAACAAGAAGTCTGGAAAGAGAATGATAAAATCCACATTTAACAAAATTAATAAAATTTAAATTTTAACATAAAGAGGACGAGTTTTGCTGCTTTAATATGTATCACTATTTCAGCTTCTGAAGGGAGTCTGTGTCTCCTTCACACATCACCCCCAGTGAGAAACTTTGAGGAGACAATGCAACAATATATAAGCTGAAAAATTAACATATATATTTACCTCATCATTAGTATATTTCTATCAAAGATAACTGCATTATCAATGTGTCCTTACATAACTTTGTTGGAGGCTTTAACCACTGGCAGCAGCCTCAGAGAGCCTCCTCTGAAGCAGAGTATTTCTTCAGGTCAAACACATCCAGATCTTTTCCTGATGACACTAAGATGAAACCCAGAGCTGACCACTGAGCAGGAGACGTTTATCTGTGGAGAGACTTCCTGAACTCAGAGACTGTTGGATCTCCTCCACTAGAGAACGATCATTCAGTTCATTCAGACAGTGGAACAGATTGATGCTTTTCTCTGCAGACACATTCTCACTGATCTTCTCCTTTATGTACTCAACTGTTTCCTGATTGGTCTGTGAGCTACTTCCTGACTGTGTCAGCAGACCTTGTAGGAGTCTCTGATTGGTCTGCAGTGAAAGTCCCAGGAGGAAACGGAGGAACAAGTCCAGGTGTCCATTTGGACTCTGTAAGGCCTGGTCAACAGCTCTCTGGTGGAGAGATTGTAGATCAGATGTATTAAGTAATGAAGATGTATAGATCTTTGTATTTCTTTGATCATGTCAGAACCAGAGTTGATGAAGGTCAGATGAACATGAAGAGCAGCCAGAAACTCCTGAACACTCAGATGGACGAAGCAGAACACCTTGTCCTGGTACAGACCTCTCTCCTCTTTAAAGATCTGTGTGAACACTCCTGAGTACACTGAGGCTGCTCTGATATCGATGCCACACTCTGTCAGGTCTGATTCATAGAAGATCAGGTTTCCTTTCTGCAGCTGATCAAAAGCCAGTTTTCCCAGAGACTCAATCATCTTCCTGCTCTCTGGACTCCAGTGTGGATCTGTTTCAGCTCCTCCATCATACTTGACCTTCTTCACTTTGGTCTGAACCACCAGGAAGTGGATGTACATCTCAGTCAGGGTTCTGGGCAGCTCTCCTCCCTCTCTGGTCTCCAACACATCCTCCAGAACTGTAGCAGTGATCCAGCAGAAGACTGGGATGTGGCACATGATGTGGAGCTTCGTGATGTCTTCATGTGGGAGATGATCCTGCTGGCCTGCTCCTCATCTCTGAATCTCTTCCTGAAGTACTCCTCCTTCTGAGGGTCATTGAACCCTCTGACCTCTGTCACCATGCCAACACGCTGAGGAGGGATCTGATTGGCTGCTGCAGGTCGTGTGGTTATCCAGAGGAGAGCAGAGGGAAGCAGTTTCCCCCTGATGAGGTTTGTCAGCAGAACATCCACTGAGCTGGACTCTGTAGCATCGGTCAGGATCTCCTTGTTGTGGAAGTCCAGTGGAAGTCGACTCTCATCCAAGCCATCAAAGATGAACAGAACCTGGAAGTGTTCAAAGCTGCAGATTTCTTTGGTTTCACTAAAGAAATGATGAACAAGTTCCACCAAGCTGAACTTTTTCTCTTTCAGCACATTCAGCTCTCTGAAGGTGAATGGAAATATGAACTGGACGTTCTGGTGGGCTTTGTCTTCAGCCCAGTCCAGAGTGAACTTCTGTGTTAGGACTGTTTTCCCAATGCCAGCCACTCCCTTTGTCATCACTGTTCTGATTGGTTGATCTCTTCCAGGTGGGACTTTAAAGATGTCTTCTTGTCTGACTGTTGTTTCTGGTCTGTGTGGTTTCCTGGATGCTGTTTCA